GGGGGGAAATTTTACATCAAACACTACAACAAAATAAAAAAAATAAATGATAGATCTAAACAATTTAAAAATTCTTAAATAAAACATAGGAAAAAATTTAAGTTGAGAAAATTTTTTAAGATATTACACAAAAGGTACAAATACATAACTAAGCATTAATAAAATGAACCAAACAAAACTTAGAATATGTTTTTCAAAAGATACTGTCAAACATACAGAGCCAAACCACAAGCTGAAAAAATATAGGCAAAGTACATATCTGTGCATATTTGTTACAGGATTTGTAATCAGAATATATAAAGACTTCTCGTAACTCTATAAAATGGGCAACCACATAAAATAAGCAAGAGATTTTTATAGATATTTTATTAAATAAAAAATAGCCAATAAACACATGAGAAATGTTAAAAATGATTAGTCATTAGGAAAATTAAAATTAAAATCACAATGATATATAACTATGTGACTATTAGAAGAGATAAAACTTTAAGAAAAATGCTAAATGCTGGCGTTGATTTAAAGCAACAGGAACTCTCAGACATTGCTGGGAGCAGTACAAAACAGCCCACCAATTGTGTTAGTTTGTCAGTCTCTTAAACAGCTTATATTGAATTACATGATTTAGCAATTCTAATACTATTTACCAAAGATAAATAAAAACATAGGTCCCCACAAAGAGGAGCTTTAAACATGATTGATCTGAATTGGAAACACCCAATGGCATGGACAGAATGTAGTACTTTGAAATAAAAGAAAAAAATAGTATAAAAGCAAGACCAAGGATGAATCTCAAAACATTACAATGAGGGACAGAAGCCAAGTCAAAAGGCTATACACTATATGCTTCCATTTAGGTCACATTTTGGAAAGAACAAAAGCACTACATAAATTACAACAATGGTTTTCCAGTGATTGGCAGAGACTGAGGGAGAAGATAAAAGTATCTATAAAAGAGCACAAAAAATTTATTAGGCTGAACAAAATACCTGTCATGATTGTGGTAATGGTAACAAGACAGTAGGTGTTTGTCAAAATGTTCCAAACTGTACACCTACAACCAATGATAATTTAATAAGGACCCTAGGAGACAATAAACCTGGCTAAAAATCTCATAGTTTTCAACTCATTTCTTTAAACATTTTAAATCATTTTTTAAATGAAATATTTTTTATTTATTGTTCTTTCTGCTTCTTCCTGAAATTCCTTTCAAGATTTTCATTATAATATCTTGAGAGTTCAATAAATTAGATCTTTTTTGAGGGTTTAATAATATTATTCCCTTCTTTATATCATTCTTTTCTTCCCCTGATCCAATGAAAACTCGCTGTGTTAATTCTTAACCCACAATTCTGATTGTTAAATTACAAATTATTTTAAAGGACTTTCATTACCTCAATTTGTTAATTAAGTTTTATACATTAGTAAATAAAGTTTATATATTTGATATATGTCAATCGGGGGGTAGTTTTAGTTTTTAATGACTTCATAATCGAATGTTTACAGGTCGAGTTTTTAAACAGTATCTTTCATGTTATAAATCTTTCTTTAGAGATATATTCAAACTGCTTAGAAGTTTGTAAGACTGGATATACAAGATGCACACAGGTATATGTATTCATATGTACATTTAGGTATACAAATGCATATGTGTATATATATATGTTTATGTGTGTGTTTGTACTATCTTCTAAGTAAGATAAAAGGTAAAATGGAACTGGACAGGAAAATTAAGTAGCTCAGTATTCTTTTTTTCAGTATAACGTTGTGTTAAATTAACTCTTCCATTTCTCAGCAGTTTGTCCACTGGAAAGTTATTTAATAGCTTTACATCTTATTTTTCACATCTACAAACTATATAAAATGATAATATCAGTGAAAAGACTGCAGTCGAGTTAATCAAGAATTCAAATAGAAAATCATAATATAGTACTTCACAGATGCATTATTACTTTTTTATGCAAATAGACTTTCCATGTACCTTATTTCACTTGTAAATTTGGATCCCAAAAAACTATAATTTCATCTCCTTGTAGGATCAGAATCACAGACAATAATTGCAAAAGACCAGCCCAGTTTTAAAATCATTAAAAAAAAAAATTAGATTTTCTTGGTCAATATCTTATTTGCTCAAGGTATAGAATTTCTTTAAATATTGTATAATGAATGTGTTTTCTCTTCTCATTAATTTCACTCCAGAATAGAGTTGGATTAGAGGTAAAGTTAACCAGACATAAGGAGGGACACACACACACACATGCGCGCACACACACACACACACCCACACGCACAGGAAAAGCAGAACTGATAGTGGACTATGCGCCTTTGGAGTAAGCTGAAAACACAGTAAAGAGAGCAATATATAACCAAAATTAATTTGCTTTTACTTTGGCAAAGACTTTAAAGTAACATAGAGACCTAGGTCCACTTCATGATGCAATGTGTGACTTCATACATCTCCACGTGATTATATTTTCTTTCCTTTTGAGATTGGGAGTTTCTGCCCTTAGAGATTTGACTCCACAATTAAATGCTGTAATTTAGTACCCATGGTTACTCAATTCTCCTTAAAGAAAACTAGGTGAAGCAACATGTATTCACTGAGAGATTATCTCAAAATGTTATAAATAGGTATTTCAAATATCCATTGCATTTTGTTTGAAAATGAATTATTTTCCTTAAAAATTTTTAAGCTACAACGAGAACTGATGATAACATGATAGATTACACAGGTAAGACATTGGGAAGAAAGCTATAAGGAGTTGGAGCTGCTATTCACTGAGGTGGACAGGTAGCCTGTCTGCTATAACATGGCATTATTTTGCCAGCATACCGTGTAACTGGAACAATAGTTTCGTTCTAGTAAAAAAAAAAAAGTTAAAATATCTCAAAATCATTGTTTGGTATATTGGTTATTTGAAATAGTCACTATTTTGGCTGCATGGGGTGTAGAAGAGCTATTTACAGGGTACAACGCATACATTTGGAGTTGAAGAATAAACAGAGTGATCTTGAGAGGAAAAATATGGATTCGAGTTAAACTCTCACACCTGTTCAGAGAATGGGAGAGACTTCAGCAGGTTATCTGTATCTTTGTATCTGGCATGTGAGAGGGTAGAGAAATACATTGCATTTTCAGAAACTGGAGAGAAGTGTGTGGACTTGCCCAGTGCTTTGAGAGGACTACAACCAGATTTAGTAGACAATTGTTCAATAAATTTACATGCTTGTCCACTTGTCCACTAATTTTCCTCTTTCTTCAGTCACTCTGTTTACTACACTATATTATCCTAGGTTGTCTTTTCTCCGTGTGTGAATATTTACATCAGAACATTTGGAGAGAGAAATATCTACATTTAATGCAAGTTTAAGGAGACTCTATTTGTAACACATGACTAGAACAAATTATACTGTGGTGACTGAGTTCATCCTGTTGGGATTGGCAGACACGCTGGAGCTACAGATCACCCTCTTCTTGCTGTTTTTTGTGGTATACACACTTACGGTTTGGGGGAATGTTGGCATGATCCTCTTAATCAGGGCCAACTCTCGACTTCACACACCCATGTACTTCTTTCTGGCCAATCTGTCCTTTGCGGACATTTGTTACTCCTCCACCATCACCCCAAAGATGCTGGTGGATTTACTGTCGGAGAAGAAAATCATCTCCTTTGTTGGCTGCTTTGTGCAGTTGTACTTCTTCATCGCCTTGGCCACGACCGAGTGCATCCTGTTTGGGTTAATGGCCTACGACCGTTACGTGGCCATATGCAACCCTCTGCTTTACCCCATGCTCATGTCCAGGACCATCTGCCTTAAAATGGCAGCAGGGGCTTTTACAGCAGGGCTGTTGAACTCCATCGTTCACACAAGTTATATAAGCAGCTTGCCATTCTGTGGCTCCAATGTCATCAACCACTTCTTCTGTGATTGCACTCCACTTTTTAAGCTCTCATGTTCTGCACACACACGGCTGAGTGAAAGCACCATTTCCATTTTTGCTGGTGTGAATATGATCGGGACTCTGCTGCTCATCCTCACCTCCTACTCCTACATTCTCTTCTCCATCTTTCGCATGCATTCAGGGGAGGGGAGGCGCAAAGCGTTCTCAACATGTGCCTCTCACCTGACAGCTATAACTCTGTTCTATTCCACTGCCATCTATACTTATCTGAAACCCAGTTCCAGCTATTCCCTAAGTCAGGACAAAGTGGCTTCTGTGTTCTACACAGTGGTGATTCCCATGTTAAATCCTCTGATCTACAGCCTCAGGAATAAGGAAGTAAAGGCAGCTTCCTGGGATATAATTACCAGGAAAAGGATTCTTTCATCTCTATGATTGGTTAAATTTCTGAACTAGATAGAGTATTTACTAAGTTTTCAAAGGCTAGTTCAAGCTAATAGTTTTTTATTAGAATATTTCCTAAGTAGTTGCCTTCTATAATATTCAAGTGTATGTATCTGATTTGAGTATAAGGTAAATTACCAAACTTATGTGAGACGATGAGACTTTCATCCCATCATTCTATATTTTCAGAAGGTCTTAAATGAGGCTTATTGCCTAGGTAAAGGAAAGTCTTGACTGTTTAGAGACAAAAGTCATAATATCACTTAAAACTAGTCATTTAAAATATATGTAATTATCCATGTACTTTCCCCTGTGAATTATTTTTTAGTGTTTATTATTTTTAAAGATTGTTATACATTGCATTTATCAAAAATGCTTTAAATTTAAAGTACCTTTCCATTATAAATTATTGTATTATGTCTTCGGAGGACACTTAAATCAAACTTCAGAACTGTAGCTTTAATTCCAACTGTAAACTCGCTATTTCCTTTTCCCTCCATGCACATACATGTTTATTAAAGAATAAAGTGAGTTTGTTCAAAAGTGTGCTACCATGAAAACTGCTATCTGATTAGAAGGCACAAGTTACAGCTCTCATGTTTTCTTCTCAAAAATTCCCAGCGTTTCTCTTGCTTTCTCTCTCATGGAACTGGCATATGCACACAAACTACATACACACGCATTTAGCTACAGCAAAGAATTTATTCAGGATATTGCTCCGAAGGAGATAAATCAATGTTCTGTGCATGAATCTAAGACATATTCTTTTTTTTAATTTTTATTTTACGATTAGTGTTAACATGCAATATTATTTTATATTAGTTCCAGGTGTATTGCATAATATTAGACATTTAAATAATTTACAAAGTGATCTCCCAATTAGTACCCACCTCACACTTTTTGAGGTTATTATAATATTATCAACTATATTTCCTATGTTGTACTTTCCAACCCCATGACTATTCTGTAACTACCAATCTGTACTTCTTAATCCCTTTGCTTTTTATACAACTTCCAGCCCCCTCTCACCTGGCAACCAGCAAAATGTTCTTTATATCTATGAGTCTGTTTTCATTTTGTTCATTTAGTTTGTTCTTTAGATTTCACATGACACATATTCTTTACAATGGATTTTCTGCTCATAGAAATCTCTTATCAATTGCCAATAAAAATCAATTAAATTTAATATTAAAGCTAAGCGAGTGAAAAGGTACAAACTTCTAATTAGAAAATCACTGAGTTGTGGGGATGTAATGTACACCATGGTGACTATAATTAACATGACCATATTGCATATCTGAAAGTTGCTAAAAGAGCATCTTAAAACTCATCATGAAGGAAAAAGAAATTTGTTAGTATGTATAGGGATGGATGATAGCTAGACTTACTGTGGTGATCATGTCACAATATATACAAATACTGGATCATTATCTTTTTACACCTGAAGCTTATATAATGTTATATGTCAGTTAGACCTCAGTTACCAAACCAAACCAAACCAAACAAAACAAAACAAAAACTGAAAAGATAATTTAAGTACGACGAATATGGAGGTAGACAGAGATTTGGCTTAGAGAACTCTGGACGAGACTGAGTGGGGGTTGGGGCTTGCTAAAGAAACAGCCACACTTGTAGTTTGGGGAGGAATATCCCTCATGATGCTTCCCTTGCTCTTGCTGAAGTTGCATCCCATCGAAGAGGTGACATGAGCGTCATCTGGGATGTGGCATAGCAGTCATTATGACCTATCACAAACAGGTCATCTGCTCGACTATTTGATACCCACAATGGTCCATGTAGGTAACTTTGGCCAGACGGATGTTCGTGAAGGTATCGGTGGTGTCTGAGCACCCATGGGCCATGCTCTCAGCCCACAGGTCCGCAGTGTTACCTGGCCCCAGAGGCCTGCGGTAGAACGGCCAGGATGTTCTCAGAGGTGCTCGCTCTTTCC